TTACCCATAGATAAATTTCTTCAAATTTAGATTTTAAAATAAAAATTTTAAAACAAATATCTTTTTATGGACAAATATTTTAATTATGAAAGTATCTATATTATATTTTTAACAATAAAATTAGATATTTAGTAATAAATTATTATCCTTTTGAGATCAAAATTTTAATTTTCAAAAATAAATTTTTCTAAAGTATATTTTATAGCGACATTTTTAAAATTTCGTTGCAAATTTTTTTTTTTTTTTGACTTTTTAAAACGGCCTTTGCATAATAATAACTATTCTCTTAATGTTTTTTAAAACAAAATTTTTAATTTTTAAAAAATCAAAAAAAATTAATTCCTAAAAACTTTTATTATGTTATTAATAGTGTGTAATCATTTTATACTAAACACACAATAATTTATGTCGTGTTGATGAAGAATGTAGATAATAAATATAATAATACAAAAATGTAGATAATACAAAAACTTTGCTCTCTTAGTATAATCGTCTGTTGCGTTAAAAGAACTCTTCACATTATGAACTATAGGACCTTTCAAATAACTTAGCGTGTGGCACTATCTATATATGTGTGGTTATTTAAATAAGTAAATGAAATAATAATAAAGAAATTAATATTTAATATATAATGTTGTTTAAATAGAAAGTGTTTTTTTAATGAAACTCAAGATTTGAGTTCAAACTTTACTTGTGTTATTGTGATAATTAATTTTTTATTTTAACATATAAAAATCTGTCACATGACATGGGAAGAAGGTTAAAAATAAATAATAATAAAATTAATATTATAATATGTAAGTTGCATAATAACTTTTATATTTAAATATAAAAATTTGTCATATGGCATGAAGAGGAGATTTAGATACCAAATCCAGTGCTCACATCTATATCTATATCTATATGGGTAAATGTAGTATTATGTCAAAGTCTTCAATATTTATTCTTAAATTCTCATAATTTTAGAAATAAAAAATGTGGCACCTCCCTTCACCTCTCTTCTCACTATTTTGATCATTTCACTCTCTTCCCCAATTATTATATAAAAGATAATAATAAAAAATATCAAATAAATTTTTCTTTCAAAGCTGCTAGGTAGCTCAAATGGGTGGTGGCCTGAATGGCTAAAATTTTGTTTTCCCTCCCGAAATATGATGCACATGGAACCCACGTGTTTTGGTTTAGAGATATAACAATTAAAAATAAAACAGAAGAGAGGAAAGAACAAAAAGAGAGAGGGAAACCAGACGAGTAAGACTTCACGACGAGCACAGGCCGCCGACTTGGGTGTTCATTGACGACACGAAGACCACTAATCTGGGTGTCACCAACGTTTGTTGCTGACCACCGTCCACCTCTGTTCGAAATCTGCATGCCGAATGTCCTCATAGGAGATTAACCTAGTTTTTTTTTTTTTTTGGTGTCTGAGATGCTTTGTGAGAGAGGACAATTTTTTTGCACTGCAAATTGTGTGATGCATGTGTTGTAAAATAAGTTGAGAGAGAGTTGAGAGGGTGATATTGAAAGAGACTCTGTTGTAGAAAACTATATCAGAAACCATAGAGAGGCTCCATAATATAGGGAGCTGGTTACAAAACATCATTATGATATAATTCAATATAATAAGGAAAAGGAGGCCGAAAGAAGGCGGGCGATCGAAAGCAGGGACAAAGAATGACAAAGAATCCTATGACCATTATATACATACTATAATATAATTAACATATTATATAACAATTATATTAATATGTTAACAGCCCCCCTCAAACTCAAGGAGGACAAACATCAACCAACTGGAGTTTGGAGACAAGTTCAACGAAGCGGCCAGGAGAATGAGCTTTGTGAGAGTATCATGTAAGCGCGTGCAGCAGGAAGTAGAGGAGATTGGATGGAGATGGACAGTACCATGAGTGACGTGTTGACGAATAAAATGACAATCAATCTCAATATGCTTGGTGCGATCATGAAAAACATCATTGTGAGCAATTTGAAGAGCACTGTGATTGTCACAAAAAAGGGCAGTAGCGCCAGTGGGGGAAACACCCATGTCAGCAAGAAGCCAACGAAGCCAGAGAAGCTCCTGAGTAGTATCAGCAAGAGCACGATATTCAGCTTCGGTACTGGAGCGAGCAGTAAGAGATTGTTTCTTGCTGTGCCAAGAAATAAGAGAATCACCCAAGAAAAAGCAGAACCCGGTAGTAGAGCGGCGGTCAGTAGGATCCCCAGCCCAATCAGCATCGAAAAAAGCATGAAGCTGGAGAGAGGAGCAAGCGGAATAATGAAGTCCATGAAACAAGGTACCTTTGAGATAACGAAGGATACGAACTAATGCAGCATAATGAGGCGTACGAGGAGCTGATATAAACTGGCTGACAATATGAACGGCATAGGCAATATCAGGATGAGTAACAGTGAGATAGACAAGGCTGCGAACCAACTGACGATATAAGGTAGCATCAGAGAGAAGAGTGCCATCAAGAGGTGTAAGACGACTCTGAGGCTCCAGGGGAGTGGAGGCAGTCTTGCAATCCGTAAGACCAACGCGGGTGAGAAGATCAGAGGTATACTTAGCCTGAAAGAGAAAAGACCCCGTGGAATCATGGAAGATTTCAAGACCCAAGAAATAGCTGAGAGGACCAAGGTCTTTCATCTCAAAATGATGGCTAAGAAACTGTTTAAGGCAAAGAATACCATCAAGATCGTCACCGGTGATAATCATATCATCCATATAAAGGAGAAGCAAGGTGGTCCCTTGAGCAGTGTTCCGAATAAAAAGAGCAGTATCATAAGAACTGGAGGTGAAACCACAGTCATGAATAATAGAGCCGAACTTGGCAAACCAAGCGCGCGGAGCTTGTTTGAGACCATATAAAGCACGCTAAAGTTTGCAGACTTTATGAGGTGGATAAGTAGACCCAGGGGGAGGTTGCATGTAGACCTCCTCAAGAAGAACACCATTAAGGAAAGCATTTTTCACATCCATTTGATAAGGATCCCAGTGTCAGGTGGTAGCAACCGCAATCAGGCTGCGAACAGAGGTAAGACGAGCAACAGGAGCAAAGGTCTCCTCATAGTCAATACCATATTCTTGGTTGAAGCCTTTTGCAATAAAGCGGGCTTTGTAGCGCTCAATAGATCCATCAGAACAAGTTTTGATTTTGTAAACCCATTTGTAACCAATGGCAGTCTTGCCAGGAGAAAGATCAACAATGTCCTAAGTGTGAATTTTATCTAAAGCCTGCAATTCATCAGTCATAGCTTGCTGCCAAAGAGGATTAGAGCGAGCCTCACGATAAGAGGTCGGTTCATAAGTAGAAAAAGCAGTAGAACCAACAATAAAGTCACGAAGACGAGTAGAAGGTTGGGTTACCTGGTGTGGTCGAGTAGTGGTAGGAGGAGCCAGAGGGAGAGACTCACCAGGAGGGGAGGATCCTGAGGGAGCAAGAGCAGGACCATCAGAGTTAGCAGGTGCATGGGACAAACCAGTAGGCAAGGCAATCTCGAGAGAGACTGGCAGGGGCGGTAGAGTAAGCTCATCAGAGAACTCGAGAGAGGCTGGCAAGGGCGGTGGAGTAAGCTCATCAGAAAACAGATCTGTGGAAGGGTCAGTAAAAAATAGAGAGGGTGAGGGAACGGACAAACGGCAGAAAGAGAGAGAGGAAAACATTTTGTGTTCCCAAAAGACTACATGACGAGAGATATGGAGTCGTTGGGAGAGAGGATCCCAACAACGATACCCCTTGTGTTCAATACCATATCCTAAGAAGCAACAAAGGCGAGGACGTGGTTCAAGTTTGGTACGTTCATGAGGTTGGAGAAGAACAAAACAGGCAGATCCAAAGACCCTGAGGTTGGTGTAAGGGGAACGGGTGCCATGCAGACGCTCATAAGGAGTGTGATTATGAATGACCGGTGTAGGGATACAATTGATAGTGTAAGCAGCAGTGAGAGCTGCCTCTCCCCAAAAATGTTCCCGACAAGAGGAAGACAGAAGGAGAGCTCGAGTAGTGTCGAGAATATATCGATGTTTCCGTTCAGCACGTCCATTTTGTTGAGACGTACCGGGACATGAACGATGAGGTTGAGTACCATGACTCTGAAGGAAGGAAAGAAAGTCAAAATCTTTATATTCCATGGCATTGTCAGAGCGAAAAAGCTTAATATTTTTAGAAAATTGTGTTTTAACCATTGCAGCAAAATTGTAATAAAGTTGTTTGAGCTCAGAGCGATTTTTCATAAGAAACAACCATGTAAAACGGGAAAAATCATCTATAAAAACAACAAAATAGCGTGCGCCTCCCATAGTAAGAGTAGGAGTAGGAGAGGGTCCCCAAATATCAGAATGAATGAGATCAAATGTTGCAAGAGAAACAGAGTCACTTGTTGTTTGGCAAGTTGACAGGACACACAATCTAAAACATCAGAACTTACATGACCTAAATGACCATTGGAAATTAAAGATTTTAAACGACCAACAGAAAGATGGCCTAAACGACAGTACCAAAGCTGAAAAGGAGATAAAGGAGGAGCAGTGGTAGCAGTGGTAGGAGCTGTGATCTGAGAGGAATCTATAACATGAAGATGGATGAGTTCGTAGAGACGTCCATGCTTACGGTCTATCCCAAGAGTTTGTCCCGTCCGAGGGTCCTGCACCAAACAACCAGTATGGAAAAAGGTAACAGTTAGACCATGCTCACATAATTGACTAATGGAGATAAGATTTAACGTAAGAACAGGCATAAGATAGACATGAGATAAAGATAAGTGAGAGGTTGAAACAGAACCAACATGATTTACAGATAGAAAAGACCCATCAGCAGTATGGATAGAAGGAACATGAGGAGTAAAAGAGAGAGGAGTAAAAATAGTAGGGTCAAAGGTCATGTGATTACAACAAGCGGAGTCAAAGTATCAAGAAGTGTTACCTGCGGTGATAGATAAAGCAGTAGATGGAGGAGTACCGGAATTCTGCCAAAAATGTTGAAACATGGCTTCGACATCGGTTTGAGAGAAGACTGGAGTGGAAGGGTCTATAGGGACAGAGGAAGGTAAATCCTCTGAGGCAGCAGCAACAGTGCGTTGAGCAGGCATTGGTTTAAACAGAGTCCCAGAATAGTGAGAGTGGCTGCAAGAAAAATTCCTGGTGGAAGGACCTTTGCGAGAGGCACGGGCGGGATTGCGGAAGCAATCTTGCTGGAGATGACCAGGGCCAGTCTTGTTGCAAAACCGACAAAGACGAACTGGACAATTAACCAGAAGATGAGTCGACGGAAGATTGCGGTTGTGACAGTAATTGTAGGCAGTTGACCTCTGTGGTGAAGGTGGGGAAGGAGAACTTCAAATCTAGGGAGTGGCAAGAACAGAGTCCACAGGGTGCGGATGAAGAGTACCAAACCTGGTTTCCTCTGACAGGAGTTCAAAAATTGCTTGCTCAAGAGTGGGTAAAGGAGTGCGATGACGGAGAGATGCGCGTACTGGCTCAAAACGGGAAGTGAGAGCCATGAGAAACTGAACCAAACGCTGTTGGTCACGGTAAGTAGTAAACAAGGTAGCATCCTTAGTACAATCCCATGGAGGTTCAGAAAGAGCGAGCTGATCCCAAACATAATACATTTGGGAGAGGAAATCATTAATGTTCTGAGTTGTTTCTTGGCGCATACGGTGAAGATGACTCAGAAGCTGATATTGGTGAGCAAGGCCAGTAGTCTGATAGCGTTCTTGTAAAAAATCCCAGATGGCCTTGGCGGGAGAGGAAGCAGAGTCAAGTTGGAACCGACCAAACTGAAGGCTGATAGATGTAATAGAAGTATTGCGAAACCAAGTGATGATCTGATAGTTTTTACTATCCCAATCTTCTAGTCGGTCGATATATTTGGCAGCGGAGTCCGTGGCAGCGGAATCCGTGGTCCCTTGAACGGGTTTGTACACATCCCTAGTGATGATGCGCCAAAGTTTCTTTCCTTTGAGGAAACCAGACATAGCTTGTGCCCATAGGACATAATTAGTCCCGTCAAGAATAACAGAAATAGGGTGGTTAGAGGAGTCCAGGCGATCCATGAGAGAAAAATAGCACAATCAAGGTAGAATCTGAAAAAACTGAGGTTACTAGTGAATTCAGATGGTCAAAATCAGTCGAAAAATGAGTGAACGGACCAAAAATATGACCAGAAAGGCAGAAAATGGATCAGTCAATGAATTTGGTCAAACAAGGATGATGCAGGGCTAATGTCACAAGCGCGACGCATGTTAGTATAGAGGTGCGCGGTGTACGTTAGTAGGGGAGAAACACGCGGCGCATGGAAGCAGCCAGGGCTGATGTCGGCTGACGTCAGAAACACGTGGCTCACGTTAGCAGGTGAGGCCGTGGCACACAATAGCACCGGACAGTATAGGAGGCGCGTAGAGCGCGTCTGAAAACGAGGAAGCGTGTGGCCTAATGTTCTGGCGGCGCGTGGAGGCGTGTGAAATGTCAGATGATGATGAATCTGGTGGCGTTGGCTTCGTCGTGAAGAGACGAAGATGCTGGTGTTGTCCAATCTGTAAATTAGGTAAGGACGAGATACGCAGCAATCTGCCAAGAAAAGAAAATGTGATGCAGCGGAAGAAGAGACTAGGAAAAACACCTGTGCTCTGATACCATGTAAAATAAGTTGAGAGAGAGTTAAGAGAGTGATATTGAAAGAGAACTCTGTTGTAGAAACCTATATTCAGAAACCAAATAAAGGCTCCATAATATAGGAGCTGGTTACAAAACATCATTATGATATAATTCAATATAATAAGGAAAAGGAGGCCGAAAAAAGGCGGGCGACCGAAAACAGGGACAAAGAATGACAAAGAATCCTATGACCATTATATACATACTATAATATATTAACATATTATATTAACAATTATATTAATATGTTAACATGTGTGATGTCTGTAATTTTTTATTTTTTTTTTTGGTCATTCTGGAATCATCTTCCATTTTATTGATGCAGTCCAATTGTTTGATGAAAGTCCGCATAGAAAAATTATGCCTGATTTTATGTTTTGTTGGAGACCTTCATGATATGGGTAAAATATTAGCAAAATTGTATTATGTTTGATGCATGTTCTTGAAATATTAAGTTATTAAAATCAACTGACTGGAGAATCTTCATGTTCTGTTTGGAGAACCTTAATGTTATTAAAATATTATGTTAGAGAACCTTCTTGATTTTATGTTCTGTTAGAAAAATTGAAATGTTGTTCATGAAAAATCACCCAAGTTACATGTGATAATATTAAGTTAAGTTGTGATGATCTTCAGAACTTACTACCATCACTACATTCACTTACACTTTATTTTCTGTCTAGTTACTGGTTATGTAGTCTGAATTTTGGTTTCAAGCTACACGCTTCAATGGACATTGATTCAAACAATCCTTCATTGAATGAGATTGAGGAAGTTGAAGAAGTAGAAAACAATTCATCATTAAATGAGATTGGTGAAGTTGAAGAACCTAAGAAGAGAATATGTTTTAGCTCAAAGCAAGAAGTATATGCATTTTATACAAAATATGCGAAACACCTCGGATTTGTTGTAGCTTATAGAACACAAAATATTGGACAAGATAAGGAAATAAAATACTTTGGAATTGAATGCACTTGGGCACGCAAGAGAACAAAATGATCAGAAGTACACCATCTCGAACCATCTTTGTCATAAAAAATTGAATGTAAAGCAAACGTTAGAGCGACTCTACAAAAGGATGGAAGATTTAAGTTAACCACAGTTGTGCTTGAACATACACATGACTTGATTCCTAGTGACTCACAGCATTTTGCAATGAATAAGAGAATTTTTACTCTTGTGAAAAGAAGACTAGAAATAAACGATGAAGTAGGGATATGGGTGGTTAGAAATTTTCATTCTATAGTTGTTGAAGTCGGGGGGTACGAGGCATTAACATTAGATGAACGAGATGTAAGGAATCACATTGTGAACACTAGAAGATTGAGGCTTGAGGTAGAAGATGCCGAATCAGTTGCACTTTATTTTCATACAATACAACAACAAAATTCAAACTTATATTCTGTAATTGACCTCGATGAAGATGGTCGCATGCAAAACTTGTTTTGGGCAAATGTAAGGGGTAGGGCAACTTATAAAGCATTTGGGGATGTGGTTTCATTTGACACAACCTATCTCACAAACAAATATGATATGCTAATTACTCCGTTTGTAGGAATTAATTACCATGGGCAATCAATTTTGCTTGGTTATGAGCTGTTATATAATGAGAACACGGAAACATTTGTGTGGCATTCAGAGAATGGTTAAGTTGCATGTCAGATGCTCCTCCAAAAGCTATAATGCATGACATTTGTGTGGCTATTTAGAGAATGGATTGTGGAGGTAACGTCCTCATCATCATCGTCCGCGAACTTGAAGTAATTGCAGTGTTCTTTGTTACTCTACAATGCATGACAATCAGTTATTCAAATTACACAAATAATTTCTGAAAGACTAAAAGTTTAATTTCATAACAAGCCCTGGCAAGCTGCTGCTGGTATGCTGTCAGCTGAATTGCAGCTCTCTCTTCTTTCTTCTAGCAGATCCAGATCTCGGGCTAATAATACATCATTAGTCCCATTCTCTACTCCCTGGGTTCTGATCTCTGGGATTCCAACTTCTAGAGGAATGACTGCTTCTGTGCCATAAGCCATGGCAAATAGGGATTCCCCAGTTGATCTTCTCGGCGTAGTCCGATATACCCAGAGTACACTTGGCAGTTCATCCACCCATTTTCCCTTTGCTGCTTGCAACCTCTTCTTAATCCCATCCAAGATGACTTTGTTGGATGCTTCTGCTTGTCCATTGTTTTGAGGAAAACTTGGGGTGGAAAAATAATTCCTGATTTTGAACTTTGCACAGAAGCTCTTGATTAGCTTATTGTCGAACTGTGTTCCATTGTCTGCAACTAGTGCTCTTGGGATCCCAAACCTGGTAATGATGTTCTTCCATATGAAGCTCTTCACATCCACGTCTTGAATCTTGGCAAGGGGTTCAACTTCTATCCACTTGGTGAAGTAATCTGTTGTTACCAGCAAGTACTTCCTTTCCCCAGTTGCTTGGGACAGTTTTCCAACAAGATCCATGCCCCAATGGGCAAACGGCCAAGGACTAGATACTGGGTTTAGGTCTGCTGCTGGTTGGTGTATCAAAGGTGCAAGCCTTTGGCACTTTTCACATCTCTTGACATAGGCTTCTGCATTCCTCTGCATGTAGGGCCACCAATACCCCTGGGTGATGGCCCTATGAGCAAGTGATCTGGCCCTAGCGTGGCTGCCGCATACTCCTTCATGTATTTCATACAAAAAATCTTCGACTTGTGAAGGATGTACACACCTCAAAAGGGGTCCAGTGAAGGATCTTCTGTAGAAATGTCCTTCTGCTGTCAGATTGAATCTTGTCGACTTCAATCTGATCTTATGTGCCTCATTGTGATCATCTGGCAGTTTTCCTTCTTTCAGGAATGCTACTATTGCATCCATCCAGCTTGGTCCCATGTCCACACACATTGCTTCACGCTCTGTGGTCAGTGGCTTGATGCTCGGGCCCGATAAGTAGTCAACCATTATTGTTCTTGTCTTTCCAGGTTTTATGGCACTAGTCAGGTTGGCCAGGGCATCGGCGTGACTGTTATCATCTCGGTTAACCTGATGTAATTGGCAATTCTGAAACAAGGCCACCAACCTGCCTACTTCATTTGCGTATACCGACATACGTTCATTTGACTATAAGCTGAGAGTCACAGAAGACTATCACCTCATCTGCTTTTACTGCTACTGCCAGTTTCAGTCCTGCAATCAGTGTTTCATACTCTGCTTCATTATTTGAGGCCTTGAATCCCAAACGAATGGATTGTTCTAGTATTTGTCTATCTGGAGATACCAGCACTACTCCGCTCCCGCTTCTTGTCGGTTTGAACTTCCGTCGACAAACAGTTGAAAGGAGTCGCCGATGTAAATGCTGCAGGGCCTGAGTTTTTCTTCCTTCCTTTGTTTTGGTTCCTTCGACTGGGCTCCTTTTTGCTCGCTTGTACATCGTACACCTTGGCTCAACGAAGCCCGAGGTACGATGGCTCCTGGAGTGAACTCGGCCACAAAGTCGGCCAAGACTTGGCCTTTGATTGCTGTTCTAGGTCTGTATTCCAGGTCATGTTGGCCCAAGGCTACTGCCCACTTGGCTATTCTGCCTATCAGATCTCCCTGCTGTAACAGGGACTTCAAAGGATGTTCAGTCAGCACCACAATTTTGTGGGCTTGAAAGTAATGGTTCAGCTTCTTTGAAGCCATTACTAAGGCCAGCGTTAACTTCTCCAGGGGTAAATACCTGGTTTCTGTATCAGCCAGGGTTTTGCTTACATAGTAAACAGCTCTTTGTTCCCATTTTTCTTCTCTGATTATCATTGCGCTTACCGCATGTTCCGAAACTGCTAAGTACAAGAATAGCTCCTCTCCAGGTTCTGGATTTGAGAGAACTGGAGCCGTGGTCAAATACTTCTTAAAGCCAGCCAGGGTGACTTCGCATTCTTCTGTCCATAAGAAGTCTGTGGCCTTTTTCACTAAGCTGAAGAAGGGTTTGCATTTGTCAGAACTTCTACTTATGAGCCTATTCGGGGCTGCAGCCCTTCCCGTTAACATCTGTACTTGCTTCACCGATGTGGGGCTTTTCAGTTCTAGGATGACCTTATTCTGATCTAGGCTGGCTTCAATGCCCCTTCTAGTCACCAAGTACCTCAAGAACTTACTAGATTCAACTCCAAATGCGTATTTTGATGCATTAAGTCAGAGTCGGTATGTTTTAAGGATATCAAGAACTGCTTTTAGGTTGGCCAGATGACCCTCACATTCTTTGGTCTTCACGACCATGTCATCGATGTAAACTTCCACTGTTCTGCCAATTAGATATTTGAACATCTTGGTTACCAATCTCTGGTAAGTTGCTCCTGCGTTTTTCAACCCAAAAGGCATTACTCTGTAGCAATACAGCCCTTTTGGGGTGATAAACGCAGTCTTCTCCTCATCTAGGGGGTACATAGCTATTTGATGGTACCCTCTGTAGGCATCCAGGAAGCTTATCCTTCCATGCCCTAAAGTGGCATCCACCAGTTGATCAATCTTGGGTAAAGGAAAACTGTTTTTGGGACAGGCCTTGTTTAGGCTGGTAAAGTCCACACAGACCCTCCATTTACCATTCTTTTTCTTTACCACCACTATATTTGATAGCCATGCCGGGTAATTTACCGCTCGAATGGCTCTGGCCTCCAAAAGTCTATCTACTTCCTCTTCCACTGCCTCAACATGTAGTAACGTCGGTCTTCTTGCCCGTTAGATTACAGGTTTGGCCAACCTGTCTACGTTCAGTTTATGACAAGTGACCTCGGATTCAATGCTTGGCATTTCATAAGGCATCCAGGCAAACACTTCAATGTGTGCTTTCAAGAAAGCCTCCAGTTCTTTTTCCTCTTCTTTGGCTAAGCCCGAGCCGAGAAGGAAGAAGCGTTCTTCGTCTCCCTACTGGACAAGGATTTTCTTTAGGGCTTCTTTACTCTTCTCGGTTGGCTCCTTGCCGACATCCTCTAGGACCTCCACATCCTCATCTTTGATCTCTTCCCTTTTTGGATTTCGTATGCTATAGGTGGATTTCATTGTCGCCATGGAGCAGTTCTTTGCCTGCAACTGATTTCCTCTGACCTCCTCTATCCCATGCTCTGTTGGGAACCGTATTAGTTAGTGCAATGTTGAGGGAACAGCCCCCATTGCATGCAACTATGGCCTTCCCAGGATAACGTTGTAAGGGGAGGGTGTGTCGATTATGGTAAATTCTGTCTTTATCTTCTTGGTGCCAGCCTGTACATCCAAGCTTACTGCTCCCAGTGGCCATATCGGCGTTCCATTGAACCTGACCACTAGTCCATTGGATTACTCTATATCATCTGGGTGAAGGCCAAGCTCCTTGTAACATCTGACATACATGATGTCACAAGAGCTGCCTTGGTCAATTAGGATGCGCTTCACTTGGCACTCCCTAACCTGGAGAGATACTACCAAGGCATCGTTGTGCAGATGTTGTACCATCTCCAGGTCTGTTTCAGTAAAGGACACTACAAGTCCCTGGCACTTCTTGACCCAAGGTCTTTTCTCCTGGACCTGGTACACATGCTACAAGTGCTTCACCTTCTGGGTCTCCCCCCGTATTTCGTTTTCGTTGACCTTCGAGTGAATTACATTAATTACCTGAGGTCCGCCTGCCTGCAGCTGCTGTGCTGGGAGAGGTGGAGCTGCTGGTGCCTGAGGCAATCTTGCATGTTCTTCCCTTGTCCCAATCTCATCTACAAGGTCCCTCAGATGGCCTTGCTTTACTAGGTCTTCTAGGTGTGACTTCAGGGCTCTGCAACCCTGAGTCAAATGCCCATCTTCATTATGGTAAGCACAATGCTTACCAAGGCTCATTCCCATAAACTCTCCTAGTACCCTAGCTGGTGCTCTGAAATAGGGTTGGGTTCGGATTTTATCTAGAACTTTGTGAATTGGGATTCGGAATATAGTTATGACTGCCTGTGCGGTTCTCAGCCCTATCTCTTGTTTGTTGGATCCGTTGTTACCTCGTCCTTGCTTCGGCGAGCCGTTTACTTTCTCTTTCTTTGTCGCCTTAATCCATGGCGTGTCCTTCTCGGCTTTGGCATATTTCTCAATTCTGGCCATAAGCTCATCCATGCTTTTTGGCAATGTTTTTGCCAATGCCTTTCGTAGTGCACAATCATCTTTTAGGCCGTTCTTGAAAGATACGACCGCCACCTCTTGGTTGCATTCGAGTATTCGGTTGAACACCTCACAATACCTTTTTGCGTAGGCCCTAAGGCCTTCATCCTCACTGATTCTCAGAGCCATCAGGGCGTTTAACCTTAATGGCTGTAGTTTGTTTGTCACAAACCTGGCACGAACATCTCGGCCAGGCCTTCCTAGGTCTTCACACTTCCCTTCGGTAATTTGTGAAACCAATCCGACGCAATCTCCCCGAAGGATGAGGGGAACACCTTGCAGAGCAATGGCTCGTTCCCAGTGTATAATGCCATCGAGTTCAGGTATAATCCGACGTAAAAGTTGGGGTCCAACTTCCCATCGTATATCTGGAACCTCGGCATACTGAATCTTTTTGGTGCCTCAAATTTCTCCAACTCCACCGAGAATGGTGTTCTCGGCTTAACAGGGGAAGTTACCTCGGCATTTTGTTGCTTCCTCTTGAGGTAATCTCTTAAGTCCTCCTTGGTCCGC